AAATACTTGAGGAAGGGAGCGCACTAGGCTTACAATATCCTCTATTTTCTCATGACAAGGTACCTTTCTAATCAGCTCTTATCATTTAAAAAAAAATGAAACACCAAATTATTATTTTTTTACAACCTATATAAAAAAACTCTTGAAATTGATTTTTTAAAATTGTATTTCACAATATGAATGGTTCCTATGACTAGAATCTTTAGTGGAATATAGTTTAGAATTTGATGATTAGCTTAAAAAAAAAAACTAAAGAATGTAAGTTCCGTAATTAATATCTTAATTAATAAATTTTGTAAAATAATTGAATAATTTTATTTTCTTTCTTCTAAAAAGTGGAGCACCAATTCTCACTTTCGAGTCCTCTCACAAAATAATTGCATGATGAATTAGGAGAGGGGATAGAGTTTTTTTTCCTCGTTTTTTTTGGAAGATGTTATAAGCTTTAGTTTTTTATATTTTGTTTTGGAGTAGAAAGGAGTAATGACATTGGGATGGCACAATAGATGATTGAAACTCTATAAATTCGTATTGACATTGATTTATCATAATTACAAGCTCAAGTTAATCAAAAAGAGCATGTGCTTTTCTGATGTATTGTGCAGGTTCTTCCCAATCTGGAGGACTTGCGATTGGATATAAAAGTAGTAGACAAGATGGGGAGTGGGCAGTTTGCAATGCACCACTTTCCCAAAGTAAAAAGCCGTGCTCTATTTGCTAAAAAGGTAACAGCTTTGCCGGGCGAATCATTATTGAGCAGCTTCCCAAGTTTAGACTGTCTCATACTAGGGGATGTGGTTGGCGTCTTTGTTTGGGATAGTGGTTTTTTTCGAGGGGTTGGTGTTACTAAACTAGCTGCTCCCTTTGTAAAAGTGGCTCTTGTTGGTATTTCCAATAAGAAAGGCATGGGACCATCCATCTTTTCTCAAACAACTGTCACACATCTCGACGTGAAATGGTGTGATCAATTGACCGCTTTGCTAACATCATCAGCAGCTCGAAGCTTGGTCCATCTCACATGCCTCACAATTGAGTGGTGCAATCAGATAGAGGAAATAACAACAAAGCAAGAGGGAGAGGATGACCAGGAGCAGGAGATCATTTTCAGCAAATTATAGCATTTGGAACTTATTGACTTGCCAAAATTGAAGAGCTTTTGTGGCCATAATTATACCTTCAAGTTTCCATTATTGGAAAATGTCACCATAAATAATTGTCCTCATTTCACAATGTTCTGTGGAGGTGCCAAGCTTACTGATATGCCAAGCTTGAAAATGTTTTCTCCACAAGGTCACTCCTTTGAATCTCGAGAACTGGAAAAGAAAAAAATGAATGGATGCCCTCAAATGAAGGAGTTTTATGGAGGAGTGGAAGCACAAAAGTTGTCTATGTGGAAATTAGAAAAGCGTGTTAAGAAATGGATGGATAAAACTGATGACAATATCAAGACAGTGGAAATGCTATTGTCAACTATTGTCAGCAATGGTATAATATAGAAGTCTTTACCTCCTATTGATGCCTATGGCATGTTTCTTTTAAAATTACATTTTTACAGGCGAACTAATATTATGGTTCTGTATTGCAGGATGGCGTTAGTAAATAGTCCATCATTCATAGGTGCAGGTTTGTATAGTTTCGTGACTTTGTTGTAAAGAACTTTCTCTTTTCTTAAACTTTTTTTTTAATTATGTTATCTGTGCTTTTCTATATATCACTAAAAAATAGCATTGCTCGTTGAAATTTACTTCAATATTTCTTTTCCGATAGTAGTTATATATCATGATATCAAGAACAGCTTCATATATGAAGGGATGAAATATTGAGGAGCTATCGTTTGGTGTTTCATTTTTTGTAAACTTACACACACACACACTATATATATATATATATATATCAAAGTTTTTTCCTTTCTGTACATCCTCAATAATCCTTTTGCTTTCATTGCTTGATCAATGCAGGTGTTGTTATTGGTGATGTTGACACTAGCTTGGTAAAGAATGTGGATTGATGTTTGGGCGTTGATACTTTTGTTGAATTCTCAAATTATATGTATCAGTAGCATTATGTGTTAAAGTATTTGATACATGGAACTCTATTTTTGTCATAGGCAATAGTCCCACCAATAAATTAAGGGATGAAAGACTTGGCCTTGGTCAAAACTCTGCCCTTGATACGTGGTTTGTTTGTCCTGTTTAAAGAGTTTAATGTGTGAAAGGCTCAGAAATTGGTGTGCTATGTTGTGAAGTTTACATTTTATTCAACTATTGTGTGGTTTTCTTAATCATGTATTGTGATTGTAAATTTTTATTCAAGTATTGTATCGATTCCTTCGTTAAGGCATTGATATTCTTTATGTAGCTGAGGTTATAATTAAAATTAATTACTTCAATTAGGTTGTTCAGAACATGGGCTTGTTGGATTCGGGAAGTATCTTGAAAGAGAGGGAAAATATAATTGAATTTATGAGTCTTTTTCAATAATATATCTCTTTTCTAACTAAGTCTATATGATAATGGACTTTTTGCGCATACCACAGAACCAACTCACACTTGACATTCCAACAGTTTAGCAAATACATGAAACTAAAGGTATCAATTAGAACAAGAAATGAAATAAAATAGGATGTTTATGTGTAAAATTTAATATTCTCAAGAGTTTGGTTGATAATAGAGCACAATAATAATGTGCAATTATTGTAATTGATTACATCTAGTGGGGTAGGGCTTGTTATTGTTGTATGTTTAAAATTTAATATGTATAAAATGAAGACTAAACTTCAAGAAATGTAGACATAAATATAAGTTTATTTTATGTAAATTAGAGATAAGATTTAAATCTAACCACTTTATTACCAAAGCGTGCATGACCCTACTGCAACATCAACTTAATAGTATGAATTGTTTTCATATTGGTTTTTGCATAATACAATCCTAGTTAAAAAAAATGGGGGACATATCTTGAATATGTTTTAACAATAATGTAGCAAATTTATCTATTCAAAAAAATGTTATTCTTAAAATACATGATTATAAAATTTAAATATCATCAAAAATTAATTGTAACATATTTTTAACTAGTAATTTATAATTAAATCTTATTTATAACTGATTTTGATTGATTCCCATCAGTTTGATTCAATTTAATGTAATTGATTTAGATTAATTTTGAATATCCTAAGTTGGATCATGGCTTAACCACAGTTTGACCATTGATATTTGAACTAACAATTTATCTAATTCAATTCCTAGCCTAGTTTTTAGAATCTTTGATCAAAAGTGATTATAGATCACTATTATTGTGGGTAGTGGTATTAAAATGCTTTGTTTGCGTCTCGTCGAGTCTTGAATACAAACCAGGCGATTAAAAATGTCGATATGCAAAGAGAGGTAAGGGAATATTTTGGTTCAAATGTTACTAATATTCATTGTTTTGCTACATTTTTTTCAATTTTATTAAAAAACAAAAGATATGTTACTGGAAGAGAGAATTTTATTTTATTTAATATTATTGTTTTTAATTATGAACATCTATAATTATATTTTCTTTGACATGTTTCATCGAACATATGACATGCACTATATAAGGTTTAATGCCTTTCTCTAACAATGTTTAGTTAAGGGGTTAATGAGCAAAATAAACTTTGAACTCTTACTCAAAAAATGTCTTGAACCCGAAACTCTTAAAATGTGCAAATCAAATCTTAAACTTTTAAATTTATAGTAAAATAAACCCTAATCATTAAATATTTAAATGCCATGATTGTTCACTGTAGGCTCCAGTTAGTGCTGACGTGTCATTGTCAATTAGCATCATAGACTCTAAATTATTAGGTTAATAGCGTTCTAGACCTTAAATTTTAAAATTTTGAGCAAATTATCCCCACCGCTTACGTATAGAATGTTATTATTATGTAAACCAAATTAGCTTCAACATGGTTTGCTGCGATGAATGTATCGTTAGTCATGGTGAACAACCCATAATTTTATTAAATGACATTTTTTGCCCTTTTTTATAATATTTTCTAAATAATCAGTGTTTGATACTTTCGTATATTCTATAACTCTAATTTAGTCTTCTTTTAAATAATATTTATTTATTTAATGGTGAAAATTTGAGATTCCATTTGAAAAGAAGTTGAAGTACCATAGAATTACAAATGATGCAAAAGCTGATAATTTCATCAATAAATTTAAAACCAAAATTAATCAATTAATTAAAATTATCTAATATTTAAACTTCTTTTTAAATGGGATCATAAGTTTTCGCTATTAATAAATAAACATAAGTCAAAATAACATTAAATTAGAGTTATAGAATATACGAAAGTATGAAATACCAATCGTTTGAAAAACATTATAAAAAAAGGCAAAAAGAAATTAAAAGTTATTTGCCATGACCAGCAATGCATTCATCACAGCAAACCATACTGAGACTAATTTGCTCTGCATAATAGTCAATGCTCTATACATAAATTGTAGGAGTAATTTGCTCAAAATTTATTTATTAAAAGTTTAAAATTTATTTTGTACATTTTAAGAGTTTAGAGTTTAAGGAACTTTTCAAGTAAGAATTCAAAGTCCATTTTACTCATTAACCCTAAATTAAGTCAAAGTTCCAACAAACCTAGAAACCACCAATTCATTGATGATTGGTTGTTTTTTTTTGCTTTCTCTTTCATGTTTGATTGTTTCTCACAATCCATACGACCAACTCCACCCAATGAGATAAAGTGATGATTGTTGTTGGTGTTAGTTTTTCTCCACCATCCTTACATCATATTTAACGCAGTTCTAGCTGCCTATGATGCAAGCATGGTAGGAAGGAACCACATTAAATATTCTAGACAAAGTGACAAGCTTCAACCTTATTGGGATTTGCAAATTTTGAAAGTTGAAGGTTACGTCATATGGAATGCCATAACTAGTTGAAATTTTGACCCGATTCAATGTCCTCTCAAAAATGTTTAACTAAAATGAAACCAACTATTTAGCTAACTGAGATGCTACAGTGATAAGCATAGTTTGAACACTTTCTTTCAGACATTTTATAATATACAAAATAATGACTCCACAAAAGTTATTGAATAGAACAAGAACATATTTGTAAAGAACAATCTGAAGCACTTAAAAATGACTAGAACTATTAGTTTAACAGACCAAAATGAGTGGGGTTCATGACCTTCTTTCCTTCCTTTCAGATGATCTTTTCTCCTCTACCTCTCTTCATTTTTGCTGCCTGTCCAACATTACAAAAATGGTCATTGTATATTTGCATCAAGCATGCGTCATTTTGCTAGATAAGTAAAATGTAGTCATGTATATTCAAGAAATATGAAAATAAATGCAAAATCAAGCCATTTTTTTAATAATAGAAGTAAACCGGTAATGTATAATAGATGGGTAGCGCAAAAATCGGTCCTTGTTGCTTCTAGTCCCAGACACAACCAAAGGTATCAAAATCTGATCAAATTATTTGGTTCAGTTAGAAAATAAGAACCACCCTGGTCTGATGTCTAGAAACACTTGGAGATTTGTAGTTCAAAGAACAGATCAACCATGGTCAGCAACCAATAAAAACTACATTAAACCCAAAAGTTTTAGTGAAGCACCCAATTGACATTGACAATGTTTCATCAAAAAGTGATAGTAACAACCAAAACAACCAATAACAAGGTGAAAAATAACAACCAAGAAAATAATTCATTTATCAACCAATACCAGGCATATAAATATAAAATTATCATAAAGAAATAACATATTGTAGCGTAAGCCAAAATAAAAGCACCATGAGAAATAAATAACATATCTACATGTGAAACTAAAAAAAAAGCAAATAGAACAACACAGAAGCTCGGAGTTCTTCATGATCTTAGCTAAAAGCATGTATCCACCACTAGCATTAGTAGTAGATAAAATTGCAGCTTGAACCCCACCAATTGATACAGTTGAATCCAGCCCCACAAACGGTAGAGGATTTTTCCAATCACCATCCACCTAAACAAGATTATTCACTAAAATCTTGCAAGTACAAACAAAAGTTTCGAGCAAGTTGCACATGTTGGAGCATTTGTTTAAATGAATACCTTGTCCGACTTTGATTTTTTTTTTCTACCATCCTAATTGGGGGCCCCAACTGTAGGAGGAATCAAATCCAAACCACCTGAAGATAAAGTAAAACCAAATGAGAGAAGGGAGAAAATCAAGATAAAATGGAATATGAGTAGTAAGAATGAACTTTGTCTATCATAGGTAAACTAGGTTGTTTTATATAACTTGCAATAGGTACAATGATCCTCGGAACACTAGTAAAAAATCCTGGTTGTGTTCCCCCAGAGGCAAACTCAAGTTCATGTGCTTTCTTCTTTTCTTGCTCTTTCCTGTCACTTTCACGCCTCATATTTGCCTCTGTGACAGACAGGGGACATGCAAAAGAGGAGTTACATAAGCAAAAATAAATCAACAGCAACAGTCAGACAAAATAATAATAAACATACGAGGCGAAAAAAAGCAACATCAGTGTTAGGTACTTGAAAGACATGAAAAAATAATATCGCACAACCAATAAGTTGGTTAAATCGATATTGGAAGCTTAAACTAGGCTAGTATTTAGTTTCCCAAATCAAGACCATCATATTCAAAAAAAATGTGGAAAGAATCCTAAAACAAATAGACCTATATATACACAACTATACATGTTTGTTAGCCGTCCATTTCAGCCTAAATAATATTGTCAAAAGGATTCTTAAAGAGAAGAAACACAATCTGACAGTAAAAAAATCATTTCAACATCAGGTTAGAAAACAAACAAGTTCCCTAATATTAGATATTAAGTCCATTCTTTGTGTAGTGAACAATAATAGCCTAAACAACCTAAATACCAGTGACCAGTATATCCAGAATATGACAAAATGAACTACTAATGTTGCTAAGAACACACAAAAAGCATAGAATTGTCAAAATCAGGTAAAATATAAGCATAGTATACAGAAGTACAGGGAAGCACAGCAAGATAGATGCAGAGAAGAAATAGTCAAGGACCTATTTCGTCACAGTAGTCACTTCGGTCATATCCATGAGGGTCGAATACATCTTTTATTAAAACAAAATCCTATTTGGTCAATATCCTGATACCTCACAGCATGCAACAGGAAGTCAGGGTTCTGATAGTCCTTCCTATCGCAAACTTCAGCATTAAAACATTTTCCAGCCTTCTTATACTCAAGATATTTACTTATTTTTCTCTATAATAATAACATCAAAGTAATGATGTCAAGAAAAATCAACAAATCTACAAAGGGTAAAAATAATTTTCTACTTTCTCAAAAATTGAGGGTGCAACAATTTTCTAATTTAAATTATTACTTAAAACTGCTAAACTTCTGGTGTACTGATTAATGAGTAGATGACCATTCAGCTTCCAGAGTAAAGAATGTCCACAGGGTGAGAAAAAACAATAATTTAAGGTGCATTCAATGAAACAGAAGTTTAGTGGCCAAAAAAACTTCATAATGAAAAGTTATGGCAAATGATCACTTTTTTCAATAACTTGATGATTTGATCGCCAATTTGTAATGTTTGAAAATATTTTAAAGTCTCAAACACATATTAAAGGGAACATGATAATGAATCAAACCACATATCACCATTTAATAATTAAACAAGAGCAGCTGCCGAATTCATTGAACACCCCACATGCTAAGTGATTTCCAAACTTTTACAACTAAAACTCATTTTAAGTAGGTAGATTCCCACACTAAATCTTTTTCAAAACTTCAATGCTAAAATTCTAAACGTTGATCATTATATTCAAGTGTTTATACATGACCTTAGAATTATTTATGTCTGTGTAGTTTACTTATGATGCACAATTACTAAACAGGACTGGAAGTCAGAAGGGATTAAAGAGTGTAATATTACATAACACCTCTTCCAGAGTCCCACCAAATTGATTTAATCATATTCAATAACCATGATATGAAAATAATGAAGTTAATAGTTAAGCAAGAGAAGCTTAAGAGTTTAGAGATTCCTAGCAAATTAAAAGCAAAGCTTTCATGTGGAACAAAGCAAAAAGGGAAGAAGACATCAAACTAAGCAAGCAGACAAAAGCTGTTTTTTTTTGTTAAGGGGGAGGGGAGAAAATCACAATAATTCAATTTAATAAATTCGCACATCTCTAAAATTTATCGAGAGCATTAATTTATTGATTATTGAAAAATTATTCTGATGGAACTTACTTGAAGGTCTTCAAGGCATTTAACTTTTGGTGGTGATGGGAGAAACTTATCCATTAGATCTATAAATTTTTGCTCTTCCTGAGTTGCTTCTCCATGTTTTACACCATCTGATTCAGCCAGTGTCAACTTGCGTAGTATGAGATGGCTCAGAAAATTGAAGAGTGTTAAATTGATTGCTTAGCGTCAAAACTTGAACGGATACTGATGACGCTTGATCTAGCAAATCACCTAAAAAATGACACTCAAGAAAGTTAAATTAAAAAAAAAAGCAGAACAAGAATTAAAATGATGAACAGTTAAAGAAAAATAAAACAATAGCATCATTCCAATGCATTATGGACCTAGCATACTTACCCTACATATTTACTTGGCCATTTTTACTTGGAAAAGTGAAGTGAAACCACCCCAATGTAATGTTTGAGCTTTTTTTCCCCCATTAATCTTAAAAACCCAAGCAAAGGCCATAAAATTGGCACATTCTCAAATAAATAGTTTCTGCACTTATCCAGAACTAAAAGAGTTAAACAATCAACTATAGGCTAAAAAAAAATTGCACATAAAAGTAAATTGAATAATTTTTCTTGATTGAATATATATAATGCAAGTTAATTTTAACTATTTTATATGTTAATTACCATGATAATATGAAAGTTCAAATTCATTAACTCATATTCATAATTATCTACCAGACCTGTTTATACAAATTCCAAAAAGAATAATAGACTTTTTTAGGCTTGATGAAAGAACAGACTACTAGTCTAAATTTTAAATTCTTTTGTTCCATAAGAAATTAGTGACTTTGTGAAGCTTTTAACATATTCTTCTTATTGCCAACAAATTAATCAAGTAATATTCATTCTCGAAGCATAACCAACATTGGGATGAGGTGTCTGGAGAAATGATCAAATAAATTTAGCATAACATACTTCAATCAAAAGACGACATACCATTGGTTGTTCGATGTTCTTCCCTAAACATGACTCGATCATTACCATCTAGCTCTCCATCCAGAAATCAAAACCAAATATAGGTTATTAATTTATTACCTACAATAAAGCAGGAGAAAATGGTTCCCTACAAAGTAATCTGCATGGAAAGTATGACAAGGCCAAATTTCCTAAGGAACTATTTGTTACATCCCAAAAATTAGATGTGACTGGCATAGGATATATGTAGAAACATACATCCTTTAAGCCTTTATCAAGAAAAACTCTAATTTAATATCTTAGTGTGTTTGAAATAGGACTAGAAATCATTGCAACACTTTCATGTAAACAAAACAATCCCAACCTTTTTGTAGAAATTTTGGCAGAATCTCCCATACAAATAAATCCTTTCAAAATTTTTACAACAATCATTTACTGAACCAAATCAATAATACTGAGCTCTATTCCTTCATAACAGGCAAATAATATAAATTACAATTCAAGATTCTATTTATAGTTATTGTGGAGCACATGAAGCAGATTATAAAAATAATACATAAACTCACATTTAAATCGAGTTGAGATTTATCCAAAGAAATTCGTCTACTTCAGTTCAACGATAAATTCTCTCAATGATCAACAGGAGATCCTAAGTATTGATATTATCTGAGGCCAAAATATCTTTCCATTAAATAACGTCCCAATTAAAAATTAAAGAAAATAGAGAAATGTACCTAAAAAAAATACAAGAATTTTACAAGAATATCTATTTGAAAGCAAATTAGAAGCTCATACCTCAAGCATGATTCTATGTAAATACATGAATCATATATGTATGAATCCAAATAATAATGACATAGCATTAGAATTTCATTTTTTCATACTTCAATTTATATTTTAGACAATTACTATATGTGAAACTCCTTACAAAAATCTATGTGAAGAAATACAGTCCATTTAACTAATATCATTTTGCACAAATGATAAGTTTCAAAACTCAAATGTTTAGCGAGACTTAACCAAAACAATTAAGAAGTGCGGACACAAAGTCCACGAGGCTAAATAATCAATAAGTGTGGACACTCAATCCATGATGGTAAATCACCAACAAGCATAGCTTAGACCACGAAATAATCAAGCGTGGCTAGAAGCCATGAAACAAGAGTGAGTATAATGCTCATGAATATCTATCCCTTCGTTACTTGTGCGTTGGCCTACGCACGGACTAGCACCTCCTATAAACACCCTGCTAGCTATGTGTATCATGGCACGCCAAGGGCTAATAGAATTGCTGTTAGCAACCAGCGTTATGTAGAAAGTCCCTTTTAAATCAATTTTTGAACATGCAAAAAAACAGTCACTTTCAAAATAAAATTTTCTCTTCTTAATATCAAACATGTATAAATTGTCAAAGCATCAATCCTTCTAATCATGAAAGTTCATAACTAATATTTGATAAACCGGTTTACCAATTTCTGTGAACATCTTTTTCAAATAGAGAATAACTTAGAACTTGTAAAAGCATTTTCGTCAACTTTAAAAGCATATGTCGTGACTTCAAGACCTAGAGTAAATTAATTAACAAAAGAGATCAGGACTAGAAAAATATGAAAATATTAATAACTGCAGATTATTGAAAATAGCATTTGATAAAAAGAAAAATTTGTAAATAAATTGATTGAGACGTTATCCACTTACCTGAGACATTTCCAAACGTATACCTTACTCTTGGTTAGCCATTTTTGTAATATTTCCCATACTTTACTTCCCTAATGCCCCAAGGGATATTATTGTTATTTCTTATACATTTTATAAATCAAATTTTCAATCTAAACTAATTTAGAGAAATAGAAAAGAAAATTTCATCATCAATCTTTCACCAATAAAATACCTTGATGAGTTTAATCAATAAATCTATGACATACATGCATATAAACTATATTCCAAGTTTTCAAATCTTTCTATAGAAAATAAATACTCCAACTATGACTTATTCAACATTTCCAATCATGCATATCCAATTTTCATAATTTTCCTTTCATAAACATTATATATGCACCCAAAAAACTAACAAAAGAATAAACAAACAAACAAACTTGGTCTTTAAATTATCAACCAACTACCTTTTTCCAAAATTTTCTACCTTCAATACTTAAATTTTCCAAGCTTCCCAAAATCATGTTCTTATAAAAAATTAATTCAAATAAACCGAGATTCTTCCTAATCTTTTATTTGAGCTTGTTAGAACATCAACCTTTTCCCTACACATGCATAGCAATTGATACAACAAGGAATAGTCAAAATTTCAACACCAACCATAAAGGAAAAGAGAAGAATTCCAGAATACCTCACAATGATCAAATAATGAAGTTAAATTTTAATTAAAGTATATATATGTAGACATGCTCCAAATTTAATTACTCCATTAATCTAAAAATGCTTCTAATACTCATTTTATCAAACACCTTGAGTACTTCTTGAAATCAAGTCATAAAACACCATGATTTACAAATTGTCAACTATACAATGCCCAAAAATTCAAAAAGTCACACAATCACTTCACGATCAAATTTCTTTGTTATATTTAAGTTAAACTCTCACTCATTTCATTGAACATTGATATGCAACCCAAAATCCCAATTATAAATTATAAACTAATTTTTGTAATTTCTCAAAAGACAATTTAAATAGACTTCAATCATTAACATATACAAAAGTTCTTCAACTCCCAATTCTTGACAGATTCTAATTCTATACTCTCCTCTTGAAATCTCATCCCAACAATATCAAATATAACTTTTGAATTTATCATGTTTTGCCAATCAAATTCTACAATAAGAATCAATTTGAATTTAAAAAAAAAATCCAACCCAAACTATCCTCATTTGATTCAAATCCCCTCCTATCTCAGGCACACATAGGAGCAGAACAGATAACAAGCAAAAATTCACAATCCTAGTCACAAACATATACACAAAACACATATTTACCTATCCATACATTACTGAAAAACCAAGTGACCTAAATATTGAAATTTAACTAGGATTAACTTAGTCAAGTTTAAGCACTCATTTAAATAAAATTTTCACTCAAACATTCTATCAAAAACTTTATGTGCGAGAGAGAAAAATCAATATAACAAGCCTCTTACTTTCAAAGTTCTCTGCCCAAGTCACATATAAACATCAACAAATCTTCTCCTAAAAACTCAAATCTATCAATTATTATCTTTCTCTTAATACTAAGAACTTCAGCTTAAATTAATTTATCTTTCTTACTCAACATTTACAGCAGCAAAAAAGAAGAAGAATCACCATCTCAATCATAACACAAACACACACACATAGAGAACAACAAGAAGGAAGATGACGTGAAGCTTCTATACCTCATATTGCCAACTAAAGATAGAGAAAGGGAGAAGTTGAAGCTTGTGCTGAACAGGGGAGGAAAAATTCTGCAGCAATGAAGCAAGAGAGAGAAAAGGCTGACGAAAACATCCAATAGCAGCAACATAAGGCCCCTTTGTGCATTACTTCTCCGGCAGGCTAGCTTCCCACGGCCACCAACAGCACAAATAAGGACGAAGAAAATAGTTTAGCAACAGAGAAGACAGAACAGCGAACAAGGAGACAGCGTGCGCGCCTCTGCAATGTATACCCCATGGTCGCTAGCGATTAGATAAGTGACAGATATGAAGGTGGAGAACAGAGGTTGAAGGATTGAGGAATTGAAGCTTCCAGAACAAAAATTCTCCCCACCGTCCATGATACATGGGAATTGAGAATAATAGGGGTAATTAAGGGAATTAGGAATATAAGGGTAGGTTGGATATTTAGATATATTCTCTATAAATAGGTCTAGGTTGTAATGGGAAATTATGAATGGAATTAATCTCTTTGTTTCTCTCTATTCTCCTCTCTCTCTCCCCCTCTTTCTCTTCTACCCCTATTAAAGGTATCAGAGCCTCCTCTCTGGCCATGGCTCTGCCGGAGAGTCGATCCAATGAACGCTTTGGTGTTCTCGAATATCATTTGGAGATGCAATCAGCTTGGCTTCAATACAACCAATAGATATTACACCAACAGACTCACGACTTCAGTGAGATCAAGCAAACCATGTCTCACATTTCTCAACAAATGCACGAAATCTCGGCTAAGCTTTCGATGCTTACCGAGAAGTGCTTGTACTCTCTTGTGGTCACTATAGGTGAACTGTTTAACACACTGAACCATGTTTCAACTGAGCTCGAGTTCAACCACCAACAACAGAATAGTAACATAGACGCAGAAACAATGGGGAGTTGAATGATATTGCCGAAGATGAAGAAAAACTTGAGGATGACATCAAGATTAAAGCAAATCAAGAGTGGAGGACTACAGAAGTGATGCAGAATGAAGTTGTAAGAACCTTAAATTTTAAATTGAACAAATTTTTCTCATAATGAATGTATTATTTAAATAAAGTTTATAATAAGTAGAATTGAGTAGTTTATAGAAATTTATGCTGGAAAATTTTTCAAGAATTCAGAGTCCAATTTTTTTTTTCTAGTAAAAGTCTGATTTTAAATTATAAAAAATTTTGTGTTCTTTCTAGTAAATTTTGTGTGTCCTTTGTTGTGATTTTCTCGTGCTCCTTTTCATAATTTTCCCGAATACTCTTATATCAGATTCAGGCTAAAAAAAAAACAAGAAGAAGAAAAAATTTAAAAGAGATATCGGGAAACTTCTGCTTCATTTGAGAGACTGGTCCAGAGGAGAGAGATGGCTGATTTTTCTTTCCTTCTTTCGTGATTCCTCTGCGTCTCTACTTTCTTTTCTTTCGTCTTCAACCACTGCCAATGATAGTGGCTGTTGTTGCTTCGACCGTCCGCCATTGACAGGTGCTGGAGCTCGCTGATTCGTTGCTGTACGTTTGAGAAGATTCAAAGGCTCTGGATCAAGGAGAATGGGAGAGAGCTTTAAACTATAGCTGCGTCTCTTCCGATCTCCTTCTTGTGCTGTTCTTTTCGTCTGTCACCAGTGAGCTTGAGCATGTTGCAGATTTCTTCTTCCTTTTCCTCTGTTCTACGTTACTGATCGCTCAACACTGTAGGTCGTCGTTCAGTTCGTCCATCTGCTGTTCATTCGCGTTGGCGGCCGTTTTTTTCTTCCTCCGTTAATATCGAGCTATGGGTTCTTAAATTTCAGATTGGGGAGTGGTTGATTCACGTTGATTTACTGGTTTTCTGCTTCCCCTGTTCAGCACCGAACTGCTCTCCCTTCATAGTCGTTGTGGCCGATATCTGGTGAGGGAGCTCATTCTCCCATTCTCATCTCTAATGATTTTATGTGGTGCGTATATATATATATATATATTGGCTTTCCCTGTTTGCGTTGCTCGGTCCTTCTTCCTCTTCTGTCTTTACATTATCCGAATCTTTTGCTTCCTTAATTTTGCATTGTTGCTGATTAAACGTGAGGATAGGTTCGAAGCTTTCCTTCCTCGTGACTTTGTGTGTGTATGTTTATGTGATTGAGCTTGCAAAGTTCCCCTTGTTATTTGTTCTGCCCCTGTATATGCCTGACTTAGGAAGGGACTTGAACCAAAATGAAATTAGTTTGGGTTGAGTTTTTCTTGATTCTAAGTTGATTCTTAGTACAGATTTTGATTGGAAAAAAAAATATGATAAATTCAGAAGTTATATTGGATATTGTTGGGATGAGATTTGAATAGAAGTATTAAAATCAAAATCTATCAAGAATTGGGATTGAGAAACTTTTGTGTATATTAATGGTTGAAGGTTATTTGATTTCTATTTTAAGAATTATAGAAATTAATTTATAAGTTACAATTGGGAATTTGGGTGGTATACCAAATGTTTGATGAAATGAGTAAGAGATAAATTTTGAACTATTGAGACAATTAAGAGTGATGAAGGTATCATTGATTACATTATAAAACAAGTAAATTACTTTTTGTGATGAAGCTTGGAAAAAAGAAATCAAATCAAGAAGTTGGCTTATTGGTGATAGATTAGTATTTGAACTTATTATGTGAAATTATGAAATTTGTTGGATCAGTTTGAGTCTTAAAGCACATGGAAACAATAAAGAAATTTGTTATACTTGATAATATTTATGATACTGAATTAAAGGTGTTATGCGATCAGTTGTGGCTGTGTGGGATAAGAAATTGTACTGTTTTGAATAAAGCATACTTTTGTAAAGCATCGTTGGAGAACCTTAAGGATAAATTACTTATTGGTTACAAAAAGAAGGGGGCATGGTTGAAATAAGTATATTATTGTAGGTGTGAAAAAAAGAATAAGAAGAATATAGTTTTTAACTATGGTTCGTGGGCTAAGTACCAATAGGGATTGAGAGAACTTTAATATGTTCTAGATTATATATAGTGGGTTTATGAATATTAGTTAGAAATATATGAATTAGAGCTTTTAATGAAGAAAGTTTTTTGTTCTTATGGTTTAGGCAGTAGAGTACGTAGCTGAAGGGAAGTGTAGAGGTGTTTAGAAAGAACATATGATTATTCTTGGAGCTTATCAGGTAAGTGGATGGCGTCCCAACTAATATTTCATTAAAATCTCTTTTATTCGAATATTACATTTTTATGCAAATTCTTTTTACGACAGCAATGTGACTATGAGATATTTTGTTGATTAAATTACTTTATTTCGTGAAATTATTTTACCAGAATTGATCATTTTAGTTAATCAGTAAATACAAGTTTGAATTTTAATTGTGGGATTTCATTTTGGAAATTATTGAATTTCTATGGAAAAACAATTCATGCGAGTTCGACTTTGAAAAGGAAAAGTTGATTAAATAGTGATCAAATTCTCGCATGTTTGAAATTGAATTTGAAAGGGACTTTATATAGAACACTGGTTGCTAACGGCAGTTCCGTTAGCCCTTGACGCGCCATGGTACACCTAGCTAGCAGGGTGTTATAGGAGGTGCTAGCCCCGTGCGATGGCCAACGCACGTGGAACGGAGGGATGGTTATTCGTGAGCATCGTACTCACGTTTGTTTCGTAGCTTCAGCTGCGTTTGGTTATATACCCTCATGGACTGTGTGTCCATGTTTGTTTCGTAGCTTCGGCTGCGTTTGGTTACTTACTCTCGTGGACTGAGTGTCCACGTTTGTTTTCGTGGCATAAGCCGCGTTTGGTTAGTTACCTTCGTGGATTGTGTGTCCACGTTTGTTAATTGTTCTGATAAGTCCCTATATTTATGAATCCAATCGTTTGATGATTTCATATTCTATTGGTTTTTATTTAGCAATTTGTTTATAAATATTTATTTCATTTATGTGCTTTATTGAAATTAAGTGATATTATCATTTTCTATGATAGTTTAATAATTTGAGATTTTATTTGAAATTTATAAAACCATTTTATTATGAAGTTATAAAATTTTTACGAAAATTTTGTCTATTTAACTTACATAACTATTTCAAACTTTTCATTTTATTTATGTTCTATTATTTATTGTTGGGACGTTATTCACTGGAAAAGATATTTTGGTCTCAGATGGTATAGTGGAACTCGTGACTCGATATATCCACTGAGGAGTTTTACTGCTGAATTGAAGCAGAAGAATTATTTTAGTCAAATCCTAATTTGGTGAAAATTTGAACTTTATACCTATGTTGGCGTCTGACCTTAAGTGCTCCACATAGACTACAGGTAGGATCCTCATATTTCCTTTAAACTTGAATATCTGATTTAATATTGTAATAATTTTTAATTACTCTATTAGTGTGTTTAACATATTAAATTCAGAGTTTCTTCTATCACGGCTTAAGGGATGTGAGGTTTGTGGTCCATATCCTGTGCCGGTCACACCTGATTTTTGGGGTGTGACAGAAGTTGTAGCCTGACTATAGATGAAGAGGAAGTCGATAGAATGCTCACAACCTTGAAGCTCGACGAGAATCTTGATAGTGATGACAATGGCTCATAAAATTTTCCAGACATTCCCACTTCAATGGCTTGTCCTCATATCATTGGTGCAACAACGTTGTTAAAATCGACATGTCTAGATTAGAGTCCAGCTGCTATAAGGTCAGTGATGATGTTGATCGCAACTCTATTGGATAACAGAAACTAACTTGCGGTCTACAAAGGTAGCGAGAAAGCTTCCGTCTTATATGACTTTAGTGCTGGACATCTCAACCTGGGTCAGACTATAGAGATGAATGGTTCACAGTTGAATTGCCTAGCTCAAAAGCTATTAGTGGAGAATCTAAACTACCCATATTTTGTGGCTCTGTTCTTGCGCTCATCGGAAGGGGTAACCAAAAAGACGTTCCTCAAGATAGTGAGGAACTTTGGTCCGGCGAACTTGACTTATCGAGCATAAGTGGAGTCGCGGCTGCAGGGGGTTATGGTGAGTATGAGGCCGTCACAGCTGATGTTTTCAAGGACAATGAGGAAGCAGAGCTATGCGGTGATGGTGATAGATGCAGTGACGATGACAGCAGATGGCCGAAAGCTTGGGTCGGGTAGGGTTATTAAAGAAATCAGATTGAGTGAAGAGAGAGTGGGTCTTTAGTTTTTACTGAAGTTTATTCGATTTTTTTCAGCAATAAGAATGCGTATTCGTGACTGCAAGTGTTTGCTTCAGGTATTTACCAATAATTTCCAGAGGCACCACAAGTGTGATCCACTTGTCAATCCATTAAAACCCATTAGAAATGGATTTGATAAAAGTGTTGTTAGACCTTGCTTGCACATGTTTTGGGCTTCTCCCGCATCCTTGGCCCAAAAGCCTTTTGAAAAGGGAATAATGCCAAATGGGTTTAATTACAATGATGTTAGACATTATGTTGATGAAGTTTGGGCTTCTCAAAAAGCTTTTAGTTGGAATTGGGTCTTGAAAATGGAGCTAAGGGATGTTCTCAAGCTTCAACAATGGGCTTCTCACAAGTTTATATGGCTTGCCTTATGGGCTTATGGATTAACAGAGCACTACAACATGTTTGGGCTTTTGATGTCCATTAATTTTGTTCTCAAATTATTTTAGTTTTAGCAGCTTAAGGCCAACAAATATATATATATATATATATAGCTAAGTCTTATTTTAGATATGTATTTTCTTGCTTTTGTACTGATCCTTGAGGACAAGGATCTCTTGTTGGGGGGAGTATTGATACATGGGAATTGGGAATAATAGGGGTAATTAAGGAAATAAGGAATATAAGGGTAGTTTGGGTATTTAGATATATTCTCTATAAATAGGTCTTTAGGTTGTAATGGAAAATTATGAATGGAATTAATCTCTCTATTTCTCTCTATTCTCCTCTCTCTCTCCCTCTTTCTCTTCTACCCCTATCAGTCCAGAATGCTTAAATCTCATTGAAGGAGAGAAGAGAAGGGGAAAATATATTACCTCATCTCAAAAGTATAGGGTACTTTTAAAAAAAAATCTCAACATATAAAATATTTTAAATAAATTAAAATTGTAATATGATAATTTTTTTTAAGTTTGAGACAAAAATAAAATTTACCTATGTACATTAAAAAGGTTCAAACTCGAGACCTTAAACACCCACAGTAAATATTATTAAGTCACCCTTCCTTTAAAAGAAACTTCATAAAATATAATCAAAAATATTTAATCATAATTTTTTTCTTTAAAACTTTGGGTCATTACAATGTTAATATCTTAAAAATTTGGTCAATTTTCAACTTTAAGAAACACCACTCTATTAATGCAAGGAAAAAAAAAAGAAGGAACATGGAGAAGAAGAAAAAGAAGAAGGAACATATAGAAGACAAATAATATACAAAAATTGTCATGTCCTCAGTCCAAATTAATATCAGTTCTTAAAGGGGGGAGGACACGAGAGGGAGTACCTCAGGCTCAGGTGACATTGCTATTTCATCATGACCGTAGTTTACAATGGTAATTGGCCCTATCCTACTCCTCCTAGAATCCAAATAGAAAAGTATTCATAGACAGAAGGAACCGAATGCAAATTCTATTGATATAGTAAGTGTCAATGCATTGAAGATAGAAAAGAACAAAATCTTCAAATTTAAATTTTAGCGAAGACAGAATCAGAGGTGTGTGGATTCTCTCATGCTCAGTCCTTCTATGTGTGGCTCATGTACAGCCTAAAATGATGCCCCTCATGCAGATAGAAGAATTTTGACACCAATCAATGGAATAATGATTAATGAGCCACTCCACAAAATTCGATGACCTATTTTGAAGAATTTCTTCAAGAAATTGAATACCGTGCTGCAAAATGGAAAAAAAACAAACAAAGAAAGATAAAGTAGGTTTTAATATGGATGTTTATTGATTTTTATTTTTGGATCAAAATATGCAAGTCTATCTATAGAGCTGGAAAAACGGGCCGAGCCCGTAAGACCAGCCCGTTTAAATTTGATAATTGCTAGGGCCGGGCTTGAGCTTTAGAGCTTCGAAACAGAACATGAGTATATAAGGACCAGCCCTAATGGACTGAGGGCCTGGGCCAACCCATTTAGGCCCATTTTATTTATTTATATTTTAAAATATTATTTATTATGGTAATATTGTTAATATATTTGATAACGTTTCAAATATTTAGTTGTTATAGTGGTTTTTTAGAATTAAAATTTACATAATACTTTGGTTTGTTTAATATTTTCTAGATAAAGTTTGATTTGTGTAATTCTAGACAATGATTTCTTTGGACAGAAAAGTAATTATTTGATCTACTTTAGATTTAAGACAATAATTTGATTCATGTTATGTATGTGTGTTAATATTTCTAAATTATATTTTTAATAATAGAGTATTTTTATATTTATTTAATTTTGTATTGTATGACTTGAATTAAGAATTTATAAATTTTAATGTTTTATTATTTGAAATAAGAGAATTTTTGCATAATTAAGATACTGTTGATGTTAAAAACTAACATGTTGTCTATGTAATTTGACATCGGAATAAGATTTTATGTTATAGTAGAATGAATGAATTACTTTTAATTTAAAAAATATAAAAAAAATGTAAAAGAACTTAAAGCCCGTAGGTCAGCTCTAAACCCGTTATGCTTAAGGCTGGGTTTTAAAGATAAGCCTTTCAAAAGGAACGCAAGCTTAAATGAGCTGGCCCTTTAGGCTCAAGCTCGTCAAGAGCCGACTCTTTAGGGTCGTACCAGCCTATTTTTCTAGCTTTATCTATTGATAAAAGAAAATAAAGGGTAAAAAAGAATATGCAAACAACCTTCAAACTTTCAAATATAGAAATCTATATACCATACCTTGCAATTGCACACAGCATGTTAGCAAAAAGAACAAATGATAATCAACAAAGTCCACAAGCACACAGATGCTGGTCATTGACTAGGAAGTTTTATTCTTGGCGAGCTCAAGGCAATATAAATTATAATCCGGAACCAAACGATATTCAAATAACTTAGCCAGCTCTTAACTTAAGTGGTATTGATTTTAAAGTTAACATCATAAGCCTGGTGCCTTAAGATGCATGACCACGACCATGTAAAAGAATAGAAGAGAATATCAGATAATACTGATCAAGTTCCTGATTTAAGTTTGATAATACATGCTATGCTTAATTTTTATAGACTATAAGATTTCAACAAGCAAGAACATCAACGTTCAAAGTATTGTTAACACAATAGCTTCACTTTCAAATTTTTCCAACCACGGATTGTTCCGATAAATCTGATGAGAAAAATCAATAGGAAAAAATCACAAAAAAAACTAAGAAGGTTTAATACTTACAGATCATTTAAACTTTCAAGCTCTATAAGCTCAAAACATTTCAAGGTTTTTCCCCCTTTTCGTACTATACACACCGTAGTACAACTTAAGTGAAACGATCTGGAGCATCAGATCGCAGATGGCAACAAGAACAAAGATGGAAAACATGTAATGAGAACTTGCTGGTGTGTCAGTGTGAAGAACCTGCTGATGAGATGTTTCTAGAGATGGTGAAGAAACCAAGTCACCGTCAAGAGCGTCCGGGAGAGAAGAATAATGAAGAAATGAATACATGGACGGACACGGATTTTCTACTAGTTGAACGGCTAGGATCTTCCATAACTCAATTGTCATAGTTTAACAAAAACAAGAAGCACCAAAATGCTTTCTAGAGAATCACATCCAACCCTACTAAAAGAAATTAATTACAGACAAAAATTAATAACAAGTGCCATTGAAGAAAAGATAAGACATATTCTCATTTTAATAATAATTTATTTTATATTAATCCTTATTTGTAATTAATTTTTTTGAGGGAAATTGAATGTGATTTTTCCTTGTATTATGGACGTGAATTTAATTTATAATACTGAATGACAATATCTATTAGTTTTCTCAAAAATAAGTGGAGAAAAATTACAAATAAGTTTCAATTTGAAACTACTTTCAAGTCTTTTAATTATAATTAATTTACCATGTTAAGCGATGCAGATATCTTTAGACTCAAACATCTTTAGTTGTAATTAATTGTCATAGGTTGACCACTAACAAGCATTGACTAATAACCGACATTGGTTGGCGATCAAAAAATATTTCTTTGAAAAATATTTTAATTAAAATAATAATACTTTAATATTTACAAATCAAACGTCACAGATTAATAAGTAAATTTTCAATATTTACAAGTGAAGCTTTTTATATTTACAAATCAACCTTTTATGATATTAATACTTTAATATTTTCAAATTTACAAGTTCAACTTTTTAAATATAAAAGTCTTTAAAAAATTAAAATTTTAAAATATTTATAATTCAATCTCTAAGAATTACAAGTCCACAAGCATTTGTGTCATTTTATATGATTAATCGCAACAAAATTTCATGGGACTTGAGAGTATTTTGACAAATTTTTGAAACTTATTTGTAACTAATGTTCT